CGCTACCCACCTAAGCACACTTTAATTGTCGTCGTGATATTTTCATATCAACAATGAGGGATTTATTGATGTGAAGTGCCAAGACGAGGTAAACATACATTTGCCTTTGAACGGAATGGTGGGAGCCATTAAAATATTTACCGATATCACCAACAAAGTCCTGTAAGTTAATGTGTGAATCGATATGAGCAGGAGTGCCGAAAACCTTTTTTACAGACGACGATTTTGGGTAAGGTCTCAACATTACAAACGTGCTCCAGTTTTGGCCTTCATCTCAAGCTGACGAACATACACGTTAAAACAGCAAGCGAAGGCACAACGCATGTGCGGTTTAAAAGGCAATCGTGAAAGTCCACGACGGTACGGTTGCCAATTTAAAATAGTTGCTTTCATTCGAGAAAAAAAATTGGCGAATGTGGACAGGTGAACGCGATGCAACCTTTCTGTTACATTCGCATTTTAACCAAATGCATGCATTCAGTGCCGACAAATCGGAGAATATGCCTCAACACCTCTCTGGTGAAGCAAGAGAACTGATTCCTAGGAACAAATTTAATTCTTAAGTTGGTTTGATGTCTTCTTTGGCAAATGGATCAGATTAGACGTTCTGTGTTTCGTGAAATAAAGATCTAAAGGTGAAATATTTGGGCAAGACTAATTATCGATAAGTGCATAAAGACCTATTGTCTTGGAAGAAACTTTGCTATTTCCGATTAAACTTGGGAATTAACGTCTTTTGCATTCAAAAAAAGTCCGTAAAATAATTTTTAACAGCCTTTTTGGATTAGCTTAGAATCAAAAAATTAAAAAGTGCGGAGAAGCAATTGGGTACTGACGTGATGGCGTATTTGAACAATACGCAACTCCTAATTGCATTGCCTTCTTTGGAGAAAACGCATTTAGGACTGCGAACGATGATGTCATTCTTGGAATTATCCAAACAACCGCCAGTCTGTGCAATTAGCCACTTTGCCCTGCTCGCAAACTTTGAAGATGTTACGCACAGTCTTGCATTCTTTACCTTTGTGGTGTAGACAGGAATATAATTGTGGGAATATTAGCCTGGTTTTCCCCATTTGTAGAATACAATAGGAGTCGCTACCTTCAGAATGAATCATCATAAATTAATGCCATTTATTTGACAATTATGTGATTTCCTCATTTAGTGGCAACTTCGAGTTTCCGACTTCAATTCCAACGACAACTTTGAACTAGTTTTGAGGACAAAAATGCAAGAAATGAAGGACTTTGGATGAACCAATAAAAATTTAATTAATCTGCAAGGATTCAGACTGACAATTGTCTCGCAGAACAAGCTGGATGAATTAGCCATTTACTGGACGTGTAGATTGAGAGAGGAGCAGCGTGAATTTCGGGTAGAATGGCAAATCGTGGATTTGAGAAGGCCTCTAGGTGGGTAGTCTCGTTTTGTAATACATCGTACAAAAGCAATGAGAAAAATTATGGATAAGCAAGAACTAGTGTACTCTGGAAAATTGAAGTAAGCTGAGACAGTCATTTCACACTTAAATTACATCAGCTCTACTTTAAATTTAGCACTGTGTCATCACGGTGTCAATCATATTATGTCGTCATGACAACACGATGGTGTGAAATGAGACGCTGAGAGTAACATCAAGGACATGAAGCGGTCTCTTTTGATGCATTTGTTTAAATTTGATCTTTTCCCATCCAACTAAAATTAGTTCAGACCAATGAAATTTAACACTCAATATCTTCATATGTCGATACTTGACGCAATGGGTTTTTCCAGGAAAACCTGAAGATTTCAAAAATTTAATTTTGAAAGACAGAGGGTACCATTTGATATATGTAGATAATTCTAAAGATACTAATTTCAATGATCTTACCAACCGCCAATTCTAACAAGGCAAAGTATTAAGGATTTCCTTCCAATCACTTCATCAAAGTAATTGTTCGTTTCAAAAAAAGGGATCAGCCCCTCTACGTTGATGCCAATTGCAATAAATGCAAGGTTTTTTACGCAGTAAGATATTCATGGCATAAGTTCAGTGAGGGTTTTGACGGTTGGAAGAAGGGTCAGTCCATAATTCACCAGAACTGCTAAAGTGCACAATTCTCGTTAGAATGGAAGACACAATGACATCATCAATGGAAGCGTATGGGTTTTACAGATAAACCGGTGAGTTCTTGGAGCAACTGATCATTAAACAAGCGAGTTTTTACGAAGTGATCTATTTGAGGAATCGCAGTCCGAACAAAACCCGCTAATACACCGTTTTGACTGATATAGATGGTTACGGCTTAAAAAGAAAAAAATCAAGGTCTGTGAAGCATCGCTTGGGTGATGTTGAGCATGGATTGTAATAAGAAGTGGCATTTAATTTATTTCTTATAATAAATACTGCGCCGAGCTGTGGTAAAGAGCTTCAAACGTAAAAAAGGTATAATTCTGACTTAAAACGATTTTTAAGTGCAATTATCGAATTGTATTTCGCTTGACTCCGTCGGGACGATAGATTCCACATTTATGAAATTCAAAGAAATTAACATTGAATTAATGAACCTAGTGATTTTAATAAGAGGATATTTAAATACACGATACACTATACTTCCAAATCCTTGGCAGATTTCCACGGAAATGTGTGGCCCACCGTCGTTATGGCATAAAATAATGATGGCAAATTGTCATCTGCAGTTGGGCTGATTGGGAACAGTAGATAGTAGAGCCGATACCGTGGTTCGGTGGCATGTTGTCAGGGTGCATGACACTCATTTACCGTAACGAATATAATTCCTACTTATGGATGCACATGTGCACTTGCGATGGACCGAGGTGCCTCACGTCCTTCATCTTTGACATTTTTAATCAATTTTGCATTACATAAACATTTTATGGACAGTGAGAGGGAAATTAGGAAACAAATCCTTTCTGTTATTGAGCTACAGTAAGGCTCACCAACAAATTATGAAAACATCCATTTGTGGCTTACAAGTTGTGCCTCAGGATGGAGCCTTTCGCCAAATTAAGTTTTAAGCGTTTCAAAGTATCACAGGTTTTGTGTCTGCGATGAAAAAATAATGCCAATTTATGCAACCTAATAAATATAGAACCACAGTAGTGTTAATAAATAAATTATCGGACTTTTTCGATTATTTGAGGCGCCAGTAATTGTCACGTTAGCTTACAGTACAACGGATTTTCGAGCAATTTGCCAAGGTGCATAATGCAAAAAATGCGGATTGTCTATGACATTTTAATCAAGCTATAGATTCAGCATACGGCTATCAAAAGTTAGGAATGGGTACATTTCTTCAGCAATTTTTTTAATACATGTGAAGGACTGAAAGTTTTTAACATCAGCACGACTAAGGTTATCCACCTCGAAAGGGTGTCTTTGTCTTTTAAAAAACGCCAAGATCCTATTTGTAGGATTTCAAAAAAATAATCATTATGTAACTGTACGAAAACGCACGACATCGTGTTACTACAACCGAAAAGGAGTCGAGAATTTGGGCTAGACTGTTCTGCATCATCCACTGCACCTATTAAATGTTCCTTCATGGGACCTTTGACTTTTCAGATCATTGTAGTGTAGTTTTCGTGAAAATAACTTTTTTGATGCTGCAAACATTAAAACTCAACCCGAATAAAGTTATAATTTTAAGAGCCTTCTAATTCTTTTACAAAATTTTAGGTAAAATTTCATTTAACGTGAGAGGATGCAATTTATCGGCATCCCAAAAATCATATTCTCGCACATTTGCGTGCGCTCCCTTATTCGAGTAGACCTTGTCATGAAATATTCAAATCGTGAGAATTTGCTTGAGCAGAATTAAAGAGAAGGCAGTCTTATAGATGTTTATATGAGCATACACCTCATCTAACTAGGAAAATTGCTTGACAGGCAAGACAATGTGACGTCAGGAATAGTCCTTAGTGAAACCGCAACTCCATGTCATATACTATTCCTGTTCGCCAATAGTCAAGATGCATATCTTAGTCAATCCTGTGCTTATGTTTATTAGGTAGTTCCAAGGTGGACATTCACTAATGATTAAATTGAACGGGTTATCAAATTTAAGACCCCAAATTAAAATTCAAGCCCATTCTGACCTTTTTTAACTGTCTACGAATCAACGGATAAACGGAATTAATGCAAGACACCTATCTATTGGGGTGAAACGGCAAATTGTGGAAGAACAAAGCGTAGTTTTCGCACGCAACCTCATTGGCTAGACTTCTGTTGATAGTGTTTCGAAATAAAATATATATGGGTGGGATGCGACAGTGTTTTTTATGTTCAGTGGGTGTACGCACAAGTGTGTGAGCAAGTGAGACCTTATGGTCCAATACTTTTACACGTGAATATCTCAGGCAGTCTACTCATTCTAGTAAATTTATTTGGTTAAGAATCAAGCATAAAGGTAGGATGGTAATGACACCCCTTGGCAAATTCTAAGAACAGGAGTTCCTGTGAATCGCGGTTTGCTGTTTTTATGGTTGTAATCAAGTCTGAACTGGAAAAAAACAAATAAACATTTGGGAGACAAAACGAAAAGAAACAAGTCTGATTTAAGACAAATTATTTTTGTTCTCTGAACTACCAGTTCACGACTACATTCTGTGAAGGCTCCTGGAGAATTCCAGAGGTCAGATTGTGTGCAAAAAGAACAACGTGTGCTTAAACTGCATGGTTAGAAGTGGCCATGTCTTCCCATGCAGAGATCCACCATGTTGAATGTGAGGGATAACGCTAAGACTCCACCAACTACCAATAATGGTAAGATAAGTCTACCACGATCTGGCTAATCACACACACGTAATTGAAAATAATTTAGCTCACATAATTTATGTGCTGTCCGCCATTACACAGACCTCTTGGTAAAGCAACTTCGGTACACGAAAATAAGGATAGCAGTGAGCGACTTAACAGTGTCTTGGGAGAAGCTCAATTAGGATACCATTAACGTGTCAGGTAAATTGGATGCGTTTGAGTTGGAAACCAAAATCTAGCTTACTTGTATCGATGAATAATGGCAAGAAAGGCACGACCATCACTCCATGAGGTGGAGAAATCCCTCACATCGACTCCGTGGTAGCCCGCAGTCACGGCCCGGCACCAAGCCAGGAGATTTCGTCCCGCGGTCTCATCCAACACACCCAAACTCAGCATTGAACCGCTGCCACCGTCTTGGTAAATCACCCGACTGCCTATGCCTCCCAAATGTTCTGGAACGAGGTTCTCCATGGCAGTGTTGGTCCCGCAGTTTATGTAAAGCAGGTCTGATAGCTAATGGAATGAAGAAAAGGCAGAACATGGTGGTCATTGATATTTACACTAAATTTACTCCCACAGTTTCAGGCTGAACTGGGTCGAGAATACAATTCTGACAGCTTTTTTATGCATGACATGTTGTGCGTCAGTCAGAAACTAGCGCGCTTTTTTAGCTACGAGCTTTTGGTTCCTAATATGGATTTAAGTTTAAATGCTCGAAGCAGCAGGGATCCAACACCAGGCTAACTAATGACCCTTAAATGTAAGCACTTTTGATTAAAATAAGGTCAACAGATTGTTGAAGGAAATTGGCTAATCCACCCAACTTCTGCTTTTGAGCAGAAGCATTCGTATGAAAATCACGCCTTGACCCAAACGCTCACAACAAATGAACGACGGAAGGCACAGCTAATAAACTATAAGATCCTAATTAAAAGATATACTTTTTTTCATTTAGAGGCTATCAAAACTGTTTGAATGCTCATCAAGGCGTTTCAACATCTACAGTGTACTCTTTCTTGGCATTGGGTGCATGGGATGCAAATGTCACGTGACGTGCTTGTACAGGTAGTTCACGCGAGGGATTTGGATCTTAAACAGAGGGAAAGTAGAGGCACGGCAAGATGCAAAGCCTGGGCCAATGATGTTGTACCATTTAGTGATTGGTCACGAGCGTTCTCGTATACACACGTGCTTTCGGTTTGATTCTTAATCCAAAGACAAAGGAATCGCGACAAGCACAATTCAGAGCCTAGATTTGATGTGGCACAATGTGTTAGTTTTAGCAAACTGTTTTAACCTTTACATCGTATTGACGAGACCGCTGCACCTTTGCTTACACATGGAGACTAGGGATTTTTAAATAAGGTTGTACTTTTACCCGCCCAAATATCAAATACAACGCTGGTCTTGTTTGACCCTGTTTCATGGAATGATTTTATGTGAGTGGTGCGAAAATGAGTGGGTCCATTAAAATATATGTGGACCGGTGGGGGAAACGCCCAATCAGCCGTTTTACTATATATTTCCGGTGTCAATTATAAACCATGATGTGAATACTGTCGACAGGTAGTCTAGAATGTGTGATTGACAATACTTGTTAATTCGTGGTTGGACCAGATGCACTGTTAGAAACCAAATAGCAAGCTTGCAAAGCGTTTCACTACTTTGAGGAGCATGAGATCGAAGGACTGATATTCAAAGTTAAGTTCTATCGCCAAATGAAGTGAAACCGTATGATGACAAAACAACTTGAGTGAGTATAGGTAGTAGACTCTATGTTCCTAAATAGATAAATAAATAGCATTCCATGGGACAGGCTCCGAAAATCTAGGTGGTGTTTGGTTTCTATTTAATGAAAACTTTTAAAATCACCTAAATACTACAACAGAGGTTGTATCACTAACTACCTTAGTTTGGAAATATGTTGTGAAACGGTGTGCCACGCCTTCAAACTTGACTTCTTCGAAGGAATTGAACTACATCAATGGCAATTTCGAAGACAATAACCATGAAAAAAAAACTATACCACGGCTAATAGACTTCGAACGCACTTATTCACTGATGTAAATCAAGTAGAACAAATTGTGTCTTTTTCTTTTTTGATTCCAGGAACACTAAATCCGCGAGAGATAGGTGTATTTCAAAGCAAGTTCGATGCAAATGTACAGGAGCGCTCAATGCAGAAATATTTTAGGCCTTTGGTTAAGACAAGACAAAGGGATGCATTCTAGCGTGAGGACTGAAAGATGAAAAAAACTGGCACTTACTTGGAAATGAAGGATGATGATCCAGATTAACCCGAGTGTCAATTTAGGATTTCCGTCGACTATTTCGTCAGGACGAATATTCACAATCCGAACCTAGAGAAAAATACACGCATGAAATGTGGAATTCGTGCTTTAGCGAAATTACTTAATTAGACTTTTGTAACGTGACGAAAAATTGTTTGGATTCCTACTTTCTCTCCCTTCTGCTTGGAAGACCTCCTATATTTAAACCAAATTCGTCTTATTTTAGGATGTGCGAATGATTCCAGTTAACGCGCGGAAATTCCGTTGTTGGCCAACACACGCTATCCAAATCGTGGCAGTGGCCATGGGGAAATTTTAGTAACCCTATATAAACCCGGATCGACATTTAGTTGACTTACACTAAAATAAGTATGGTTAATTGCAGACAGTCTGTTACAGACTAAATATTTCGAAACAGTTAAATATTGTAAAAACAACAACATTTTGCCTGTAAATGGTTCTAAACTGTCTTGTGCCTAGTACACAATGGCGAATAGGAAATTACACACATAACTTACCTTTCGATACTGAAGAAACTCCAGAACTCGTTGGACGTTTTGGATGCAATGGACCCGTGTAAGGCCGTACTCGACGCTCTAAATTGCGAAAAGTAGCACGTGGAAAGGCACTGAAGACTAATAGACTTTTGTACAACCTATTTATTGCACACACATTAGGTACTTTTTTGGGAAAAAAACACCCAGGGAACAACCAATCCAGCTACACAAGGTGAATACTTGTGTGTGTACCTTTGTGTAACGATGAATTCGCCCACACAATTCACACAGTGGATTCCCTTTTTGGCTCCCAGTAATCAGTGTTGTTAAACAGCCATTTGTAGAGCTAAAGAAGACCGCTACTATGATCAATCAACCAATTAGGGGCAGACACGGACATGCACATTGTGCAAAACGTGATTTAGAGTTTTATGCGTTATTAACCAGTCATTTACACAAAACACGGAAACCACAGCAACATCAATGGTTGTAACAAAACACGTACCGTGAACCTACCGAGAAACGCTTATTTGGCAACTTTTGTCTTTATAAGTCTGTCTGCACGTTGGATTGAATGCCAGGCTACTGTTAGAAAAGTGTAGAAAATGGATCTTGCAACAAAACACACGCTCTTTAATGTTTTCACACCTAACTAACAAACATAAACGCAAAGAAATCCTTTGGACTTTCCTAGCGGCTGCATATGACTAAGTTGTGTGTATTTGCAGAGCAAATCTCAAGTTACTTGCCGCCGGGATTAAAGACATGTGCGCGTTATACAAACAGACGTAACCACAAAACAACGGAACGGCGAAGCATTGACTTGAAAATCAAAATTAATGCTTTTAAAGTCTGCATGTGGCGCCCTCACATGTAAATTAGGCCACGGAAAATCCTCAAAACTGCATTACAACGAGATGCTACAAGAATACATGTGGAAGGAACAGTTTTTGAAACACATAGAAGTTTTTCCTGAGGATGGGATATGCTCTGGTCAAAACTGACTGACTTACGCAACATATCAGAGGCCAGAGAACAAGGCCCATCTAAAGTCTATTCGATGTACCAAGTGCAATTGCTATTTTGCGATATGTGTCTGATACGTTCATGGAGATCATTTGGCTGGAGCGAGACATTGCAATCTACCATAGCAAGCAATGCATCACAGATTTACAGGAGTTGTTCGTAGAACTCAGAGGTCAACAACACACCTCAATTTAGCGAAATACTACCTCAGGTTAACATGAGATAAAACTACACAAACGACTATCCTTAATTTCAGTTTGCACTGGAGGTCATGGATAAGACACACTAAAGAGATTAGCGTAAAATATCACATCAGGTACGCAGTATTGGACTGAGCGGAGCCATTGAACACGGTTAAAATTATTGCTAATGTGGTGGTTCGACCAATCGTTTCCATCGAAGCTCCTGTACCAGTGCCGCGTAGACGTGATTCTAAATTCAGCACATGTAGGTTCGAATATTACCATGAAGACTTCTGCCGGCTCACGAAGGCCTTTAAGTGTGACAATGAACGACCTCTAGAAGAACTAGTTCAATTGCTGTGCTCACCTTGTCTTAAGGTAGAAGCAAGCTTTTGTGCATACAAATAGACGCTTTGAACCAACGCCACGACTGATATGTACATACTGACAATCAATATGCAACTTATTAATTGCAGAAAGTGTAAGAGAGATACAGAGGAAATAGTAAAAATAAATGTAGCCCAACGCATCCACAATCGCCTCAGGAACAGAATCGATGTACGGGCTGAGCTGCTTGTTCACAGTTCAGGGTATAAACAAATAATCAGTTTGAAGGCTATCAATTCATTCGGAAGCAAGACACAGACTGGCGCAAAGGCTATAGCATCTCGCACATAAGACATTGAAAGCCAGTTTGGATGTCGTGAGGAACCATCAGACAAGGTGATTTACATCATTAAAGTAGGCAAAATCCGGAATTGCAAAGTTTTACACCCTATGACCACAACATCGTAAAACAGGCAGCAAATTGAATAGTTTTCTTACCAGGCTCTGACCGGAAAGGATTTCGATGAGTTTGATCAGCAGATGACCGCTCTGTAGGTCCTTGAATAAATCATTCACAAAGAGTCCATGCTGAAATAAGAAAAAGAAATTACCAAATGAATATCGAAGCCTTTGTTAGTGGTTGATGCGTCCAAGGCGTTTCTTTTCTTCTCAAACCCTGCATTGATGCTGTGTTAACAGAAGCAAATTGACAAAACGTGTACCTAGCAATCGCTTGAAATAGCGTCCACATAGGAAAATCCATTCCTTCTTGGTACTTGGGAAAGATATTGGGTGAGGCATATCTACAGTAGTAACTCGATTTTGGAAAGTGCCGAATTGCATGAAATAAATTAGATAGGTTTGAAAAGTTTAAAGTATTTAGTGATAAGAAGCAAAGACTTAGGTGATTACAAAGTGATCAGACATAAAAGTGAAAAAATGGCCCAAAATTTCAAAACGTGGAGAAGTACATCGGTATTGAGTTCGCGCATATCTCAGATTTTCCCTCAAATGATTCTCTGGTTACGACGCATTATGCAAATTTAAAAAAAAACAGGTGAGAGTGGTCATGTAAGCTCACATGCAAGCAGAGATACTTGGGAAAAAATGGAAATGAGTTGAAGAAGATAGTTTTTAAATCTTGTGAGATATATCTGGGAATCAAATGTGTGACCTATTGCTTGTACTCCGCATGTACGACAGCTTGCCACGAGTATTGCCTGCCTATTGTGAATAGTATACACACCAAGCGACTATGAACAAATTCCCGGGACTTGGAATTTGGATCAGTCATCAGGGGGCGGTTGTAAAACAAGCATTATAATATGTTGCAGTGGGTCTAAGTCGAAATCGCAGGATGACTCGAAAGATGACTAATTTCACCTCACCTCAAACTGGATGACGCCTACAACAAAAAGCTTTTGCTTCTGCTGGTGCAATCCAAGTCGCCGATTTACACAGGTTTTTGGTTATAAGATAGAGTCTTTAAGTGAAAAGCCGAGTTTATTCAAGAAAACTAACATGAAATCAGCATCGTACTGAATGGCGTAATATATTGAATAAGATTGTAAGCTTGAAAGTATCACCTTCGTAAGTGCAATTCAAAAGACATGATTTAGCTAGGGAAGTGGACTGCAATGACTATACGTATATCTTCAAGAGAACGTTCCCTTAAGCTTGCTTTCAACAGTCGCGTAAACTCACGAAAAAACGACACAAATGTTTCGTGAGATGGTTACGTTAGCGACCTATCGTCTTCTCAGATGTTCTGGTCGCTGAACAAAGTCCCAATGAAGAGTCACAAAAAGAAATTTGTAGAACGCTGCGGCTCTGATTCTGTTTGCTTAACGAAAGCATTAGTAAATTTTTAGAATCTATCCTATAATAGAAAATGGTTGAACTAAATTTCAAAGTACAAACAGTCGAAGACACTTGTTGAATTTGACAGAAATATTCATTCTTCGTGTAGCCCAATCACTGATGGAACTTTCATTAATAGAATCAGTTAGATATTAGGTTGAAAATAGTGCTCTTCCTTACCTATTTCTTCCAAGAGAAAAATAAGCCAGGTTTCACTACTTAACATCACATGCCCACATCGATAGAGTACAAAACATTCGCATTAAACACCACAATAATGTCAATTTGAAGATTCTGTTGTAAGGAGAAATCATACTACTGATTGGTGGAGAATTTTCATGTTTGATATCCTGATCTACTTCAGTCTAGACTGTTAACGAATCGATAAGCCTTATAAAGTGTCCAGTAAAAAAAATATTTGTATTGTCTAAAATGATAACATTTCCTAGTTCAGCAGTAATAACAGGATTCATACAGTTAAAGACCAGTACATAACCGCAATGACTAAAGGTGAACCATACTGTGGAACTGGTAAAGCTCGACAATTAGAAATAGTTTCTTCATTGCACAAACGGCGAGATTTGTCTGTGATAATTTAAAATCTACCAAGAAGATGGTGATACGTAAACTAACAGATTTTTCATTAGGAACCAAGCGCAAAACGTGATTCGGCGTTACTTCCAGATTAAAATGGGCACATTTTTGTGAAATCGAAATTCATGTACATTTGGATGCATATTCTGACATTCGCTCTAGCGTCAGGTGTTGTCTGTGCAAAGTTGTAACTGTCCACTTTACGTGTTGATAGTTAGACTTATATTGCTCCGAGTTGGTGCTAATTTACCACGCGGTTTTTTGGTAAATAAGCTTAGTAGTAAGTAACGTAGTCGATGCCGCATGGCTATTGGATAGCCCAAGGTCGCACAAGATAGCGTGCGCATGTGCTGTCCGCCCATCGCATAAGCCACAATCACACGCGCACGCACACGCAAACCTTTAAGTTATACAAGAATGAACAGAACAGATTAACCTCAGGGACGGAAGCTCCACACGCGTGGATGTGATGAGCGGCGATTCTCCCTTCATGTTGGCACAAGTTTGAAGTCACCAACGAAGCCGGGCATTAGATGCCCCTTGTGAAAGTTGTAGGGAGGTTAAATTTAATTACTGCATTATGAAAAGGTAGTTGTTTTCTAGTTGCTAGTACATCAATCAGCAATTTCGCAATTAAGACAGTGATATATTACTGTGCCGCATATATATATATATATATATATATATATATATAT